GGCAAACAACTCAAATCAGAAGGGTGTGATGGGTACATACCACAGGTCAGGGTTGTCGGTGCTGTTTTCTATGCTGAACTGTTCAATCTCTGGTCCCACCTGAGCAACAAATTTGGCCAGTTTTTCTGCAGTCTCCATTGTCTTTGTGTCAACTACAAAACAAAGCAACTGTCACTTGTCAGTTCTGAGCTGCCACTTACCGTGTGGACATCACGGGGCTGTAAACTGATTACAAAGACAGCTCCTCATTTCCCCCTCTACATCTGTGCCTTTGCCATGTTACTCTGTAGCTATGTTCAGCAGAAATGGACTGCCCTCTCCCCTGAACTGGGGCTGATCCCGGGACTCCTGCTGGCCAACAGATGTGGCAGAAGTGCCAAGTCCGGGACTAAGAGGCCTTGAGCACCTCTAATGCCTCTCTTGGAGGCCTGACACCAACTCCAGGTGAACCAACCCCAGCTCACTGATGGAGAGGTGAGAGGCACATGGCCCAGTCACCCATATCACCTCTATCAGCTCCAAACAACCAGCTGCTGCCTAAAAACACATGTGCAGGCCCAGATAGGCTAAGCCCTGTGTGAAGCCAGTTTAGAGCTGCTTGTTTCATAGCAATAGCTAGAAAATGCAGTTGTGTAGATTCTTCCCCTCTAGGTGCCCACCTAATGCTGAGTGGGAAGCACTGGTTAGGGGGCAGGCCTGTTGCAAAGAGAGAAGGTAACGGCCAGGAAAAACAGAAGGGACTAAGTTGGTAACTTTAGAAGGAACTGCAGGTCAGCTAATCCTGAGGAGGGAATACAGAGACTTAGGAGAGGAGGCAGAATGAGAACAGGGCATCCTTATGGAACATAAAGGAGGCAAGAACAGAGAAAAGTGGATCACTACGAGCTCACAGCCACAGACTGGCACATGTGGCCAGCAGTAAAACCTTGCAGGGAGACAGAGTCACTGGGCAGCAACCTGTGTTAGCTCAACTCTCAGAACAGGAGGAAGGGTACACCAGGACTCTTGGGCAGCCCCTTCAAAGAGGAAAGAAAGCACTTCCTTATGAACCCATCCTGGCTAGGTCCCTGTTGCTACTGCCCACTGCCTAGACCACTGAGGCTACAATCCCCTCTTGGCAGAGACTCCTGGAAGAGTTGGGGCTGGGGCCCAGAGGAAGGGAACAGGAGTGAACACCCACCATCAGAAGATAGGCAGGGAGAGGAGCTCTGAGGGGCTTCAGATTCATCTACTCCTGCTGGCTTGGGAGATGGGCCTGCAGCTTCTGGGCTGAGGTCCTGAGAAGGTCCGCCTGGGTCTTGTGGGCAGTCCTTGGCAGCATCACTTCCATCTGGTTGGGGTGGCTTTCCCTGTAAGGAGCCTGGAGCTTGCCGGGTGTGGTGTTTCAGCCTGGTGCCCGAGGATAGGAGGGTCTGGGTCCCAGTGGTTGCTCTCCTCACCTTCCAGCCTTGGAGACCCTGAGCTCGGAGGGGCCCGCGCCGCCGCCCTGGGAGCAGCCTCTTCTTGAGGCTCCGGACTGCCCGGGCATACAGCATGGCTCGGACTGCACACTCTGCCGCCAATGGCTTCTGATCAGCTCCTGGCAAGGTCTGACTCATCCGCTGCGCTTCTGCCAGTTTCAGCTTATAGTATTTATACTCTAGACTACTATCATCGGACAAAAACCTATGTAACAAAACAGGTACAGGACGACACTGCTAAAACACCAGCATGACCAATTCACTGCTACAAATACACTTCTGCAATCCCTTTCTACATGATGGCTTCCCTGCTGTCCAAGGCTCTGCCTGGCTCCACCAAAGACCCAGAGCTGGGCCCAGGTCACCTCCCCTGCCTAGAGAGACCAGAGGGCAACAAGGAGCTTTCAGCAGTGATGGATTCCTCCTCTGTTTCTGTCATCAGCAGCCAGGAAGGAGCTCATAACTTCTAGTGGTTTCACAACAGAAATCAGTCACCTTGGAGCCATGGAAGCATTCTGCTACTAGGACACTATAGGCATCACTCCAGGATGCCATTTTCAGAAATGACACCCTTCAAATGGTGGGCTCTCAGCTACCTTTCAATTGTATCACTTTCTCTAATAAGTACTGTACTTATAATGAAAACTTTTAATTTAAAAAGTTATTCTATTCATGTGAAGAGGCAGTAAGGCAAGAGACATTTTCACTAACAGTTGCAATAAATCACAGACAGCTGCTGTGACATATCCCTCATCTTATACAAGCATTTTGCATGCACATCTCAGCTCATCCTTACACCAGCACAACAGAGATGTGGAGCTCCAAGCCCAACAAGACCACACAGCAGGTCTACAACAGGGCTGGTGCATGAACCCAGGTGAACCTGACCCAACCTCGTGCTCTTCCCACTAGCTGACGCTACTGCTCAAAATAAACATCTCACTTTCTGTTCTGAACACCATCAGAGCAATACAAACATTGCCATGTGCTCTATGGGAAGGATTTAGAGGTTCAACATTTAGAGACCTACCAGTAAGCAGGGTCTTCCTTGAGAAGAGCTCTCTCTTTAGGAGATAGGCTGCCTCCGATGACACGTGTGACCAGCTGGTCAATGGTGTCCACCACCTTGTGATCTGCTCGCTGGGGGACAGCTGGAACACACGCAAGGGCTTTTCTGAGAAACACATTGGGCCATGTGGGGCCTGGCAAGACCAGGACAGAGTCGGGGCTTAGGATGGAGCCTAAGTAGGCACCAGCAACCGAAATCCTCGTCATGAGACCAGCGTTGAGAAAAGGAAAGCGGCATGTTACTCTAGAAACCAATATGCAAAATATCCTCCCAAAAGTTATAATAGCATAACCACAAGGACAGAAACAGTCACAGGCTTATAATGACTGTAAAGAAAAATGTATGTATATGTTTTATAGAAGGAAATGGTATGTAGCAAATCCATACCACTTCTCGTGTATCACCTAACTTGAATGTTCACAATATTAGAGGAAAAGATACAAAATGTGTTTAGGTATAAAGTATGCAAAAAGTTTATCTAGGCTGTGATTTCCAGTAGGAAAGAGGGAAGAAAAGATATACAAATATGGATACAAAAAAAAAAAAAAAAAAGGAAATGTACCAGAAAATTAACAGGCATTTTCTATGGGTGGTAAATGTCACAATTTCATTTTATCTACGAAATATAAACATATGAGTGTTCTATAATCAGAAAACATATGTATATAGACTTATGAGAAAAATTTCCCAATTAAAAGTCAATAGTCCCAAGATAGGTGTTTACAGAAAATATTCGCTGAATGTATGAAAACATTTTTTAAAGTATGAATTTCCTACAATATGGCTGTAATTTACAATGCCACCAGCAACACAGAAGAGCATCTTCTTCAATTGTCAGTTATTGCAAGTGTCCTCAAATAATAAGATTATTTAGTTTTCTGCTATTTGCACAGAATAGTTCATTCAATAAAAACCACTCCCGAACTGGAAAGGTTTTCCAGTTTGTTCTGTGGCGTAACTGTACTGTCCTGTCTTTGCCTATGTCTGAGTTGTAGCTTTGAGCTTATTTTAAACATCGGTGGGAGCGCTTTATACAGGATAAGTCTTTCAATTGTCAGTTATTGCAAGTATTTCCATTTTGAAATTGTTTTGTTGTTGTTTTAGGCTAATTTTACATCATTTTACAAAAGAATAAGAGGTCCAAAGTCAGAAGCTTTCAGAGATAAAAGCAATTTGTGGGTTACTGCAACCATTTCTAGAGACGATGACAATAGCATCAGAAAGTAGGTCCCAGCAATCCTCCTGAGACTGTATTTGTTAAAGAATTTAAAAATAAAAATTAGGGGTGGTTCCATAGAGTAGTGTTTAGCACGTCTGCTTTACACACAGCAGGTCCTGGGTTCGAGCCCCAGTGGAGCCACAGCCCGTACTCCGGGCGCGCCTGGTCCCCTGGGTGTGCCAGGCCCCGGGTACGCCAGGTCCCAGGTGTGCGCCACGAGTGTGTAAGAGGAGACGCCCCGCCTTCAGAGATCCAATTCTTAAAGGGGAGACAGCAACATCCGTAGGTCAGGGTGGAAGTGGAGGGTGTGGGGGGAATTAAAAAAAAAAGTTAAAAAAAAAGTCTTCCTTGCCTGTTAAAATAAAATAAAAATTAAAAATAATAGTAATAATAAATTCAACCAAAGATGTCATCCCAACATTTCTAACAGTAACAGAAACAGTGGTGGGGCAGTACTGGCGCTGTCCACCTGCTGTCCAGATAGCCAAGGCTTGTAGACACCAATTATAAGGGAACAGCAGCTCTAACCGGCCTCAGAAGCCTCTAAAAGGTAGCATGAGTCCAACATCAAGGGAAAGGTATGGTAATTTGTTAGGTCAATGTCACGATGTAGTGAGTTGTAGAAACACAAAAAGGGCCTATGACAATCTTGTAAAAGCGAGCAGTAGTGTTTTCGGACTGCACAGGCAGGCCCACCTGCCTGGCAGCACCACAATAGGACAGTGGTGGACAACTTTAGGTTATGGGTGACTTTTTTCTCCAGTATCACTCTTACACTGACTTTCTGCTCCACCATGCTGGAGAGTGTGCAGAGATGGCCTGTGTCAGCCCTAAGCCCTTTTCTGGAAAGCTCCCTCTCTAGTAGGTGTGGCCGCCTGTGGTGGGACCTATCAGTGCCTGTGCAGTAGGAGCTACACGAGGGTGTAGAGGAGTAAAGAGATTTAGGGACAAATGTGACTTCCTCACTGGTCTTGGGTAATGCAAGCAGAAAACCACATCAGGAGGAAAGAAGACATGGCCACTACATGTGCTCATGAGCCCTGGGATGTTTGGACTATGAAAGCAGCCATCCTGGGGGATAAGGGGGAAGGAAAAGGAACATCAAACAGCCAGTTATATCTATTATCTCCTTCTTGGCCTGCTCCCTTCCCTGTAAGCCAACTGTTAACTGTAGGTTTCTAGGTGTACCTAAAGGATCTGCTGCTAATTTTTGGCCAGTCTAAAACAGTGAGTGAGTGCCTCCACCACCTGGATAGACTTGGCTGACTTCTGTCTGTCCCTCAATACAGCTCAAATATGGCCTCCCTAACTCCCCAGGTTAGACTAGCTTGGGACCTCTCCCACGTTCCTCATTATCCTAGCACAGAAGGGGCTAGTTTTCGTGATTTCTTTCCCTCAGGATCCTGGGACTCTTCAGAGACAGTGCCTAGCATTTACTTTTCCTTCCAGGAATACCCTGGGGTGGGGGAACCAGTTGGAACAGGGCTTCTTAACCTTGGCTGCAGGATGGTACAAAACCCTCAGAAAGTGCAGGCAAGTTGTGTACAAAAACATGTATATTTTTTTTGGTAAGAGCTGCAGCTTTTCATTAGATTTCCAATGGAGTCTATGACCCAGAAACGTTTAAGGACTTCTGTCGTAGACAGAAGATTCCTCATACGTGCTTGTGGAATGAATGGCAGACATGTACACTGGCCAATTTGAGTTTTCTACTAAAATTCTAATTTGCTTCCAAAGAACTTCTGTGTAAACACCTCAAAGAGAATAAGAGACATTAAAACACACACACACACACACGAAAAACAGATAACAAACTGGAACTTTTGCTGCTTTCCTTACCATCATTCAGACCACTCAGAGCCTTGGCCTGAGTTTCGGCTTTGATAGGAGGAACTGTTTTCTCTTCATCTCGAGTTGCCTCAGGTTCGGTTTTCTTGACCTGGAGTGGATAGCCACTGCTGACCAGCCAGGCCTTCAGGTGATCTATGTACTCTCTCCCAAACAGAGTGGAGTCCTCGAAGTTTGGAAATGAAGCAGGAGAGGGAGCTATATCTTGGAGACCGACAGCTTCTAAAATTTTCTCTTGCCGGAAAGAAGAGGCCAAGGAGAACGTCTGTCCCAAAAGGGCCAAAGACTTCCGGCAGAGAGAATTGGTGGTCTCCAGGGCAACAGCTAAGTCCAGGGGGTTAGTGAGGGTTTTCATTTTGACACTCAGCTCATAGGCATTGCAGGCCATGAGCAGGGGTGTGACACTCTTCAAAAGCCGGTCTTGAAGTCTCATTATGTACTTGTCAAAGGGCTTTATGATTTCGAAAAAGCAATTTTTGGTCTTCACAGCACCTTTGTCCAAAAGCATGTTTAAAAACTCATTATCGACTCTGGGTGTTTTCAAAGCAGAGTGCTTTAAAAATTTGATAGTAAAAAAGCAAAAATCTCTGTGCTCTGGTTTTAAGGAGCATTTGAATGAGGCGAGCATTTTAGCACAGGTTTCAGTTTCAAGTTCAAAGAGAGTCTGGAAAAGCTGGGAAAATTTAACATCATCTTTTATGGTATGGAATCCTGCCCATTTGATTATTTCTATCCCAAATCTTGAAAAAACATCAGACTTATCTATGAGGTCGAAGCTCATCTTTCTTCTGGGGAGCCGAAAGTCCTTCAGATTGAGCCCTAGAGGGATCTTCTGAGTAGGGAATTGGATATCTTCAGTCCCTGGGTTTGTCCCTAGGGTCACATCAGAGCTTGGGGTGGTTTTCTGAATTTGGTTAGTGCCCTGAGTTTTGGGAGTAATACGATTTATAGTGGGTACTTTTTTCGTGCTCACACTTCTCAGCGTGACAAGTTTCCCGACTCCCCCTTTAGGTGTGAGCAGGCCCTGAGTCTCCCCTTTTCCTAAGAGTGCACCCTCCTGGTCAACGATGTTTAAAACTCGGCCTCTGCCCTGGACTTGGCCACTGCCCCTGAGCACAGAGTCTGCCTCTCCTGGACGGTCCACATCATAATCGCGACTTTCTTTCTCCAAACAATCTTTCTCAATCAGCCTGGAAGAGCCAAAGTCTCCCAGTAGTGCAGAAGGACCAAAATTAAATTCCTGTGACCAGGATTCTTGAGGAACTGGGTGGCCAAAGTCTTGTTCCCAAGAGCCACGAAGTGTAAATTTCCAGTCTGGAGAACGGAAATGTCCCAATTTCCGGTGGCCAAAGACCTGGTCTCGGGAGTCAGAGTGGGAAAATTCCAGATCCCGACCACATTCTTTACGAAAGTAGTTGTCTTCACTTACAGAAGGGTTACTTGATCTGAAGGAAGGCCCTGGAAACACATCACCTCTCAGGCCTTCTCTCCCAGCATCGCGAGAGTGACCTACGGATCCACCCAGAGTGTATCTGCTGTCACTGTGAATGTCATCATACATATCTGCTCTGACTCTTGGGACTGTCCTTAGAAGATCTGAAATAAACAATCCAAAAGGAAACACAAAGGTACTTTAGACCAGAGCCTGCAAATGGGCAGTCTACAGACCACTAGCTAGCTGGAATGCTTTATCTGCCTCAGTGCATTTTATAAATTCCTATTTGTTGCCAACATTTAAAACATGTGCGGCTTCCTTTAAACATCTGGGTTTACTACTTATAAAAACAAAGACCTACAAGCACTGGGTCTGCATCTGCCTTGGTGACAGTGCACCAAAGCTGGGCCGTAGTGTCCCTCACTCATTCAGATCTCCAGACCTGGCTCAGCAGGCATCTTGTTTACGCACTTTAAGACTCAGGGAAGAGTATTTGGTCCTCAAATAACCTAGACTTCTTTACTGTGACTGGAATACTTGTGTATCTCCACCTCTATCACACAGCACACAGGTTTTCTGGAGGTTACCAGCCCCTCTTGCCTCCTAGTAGGGACTCTCGGCATATAGTGCCACTGAGGCAGGAGCCATGTCTGACACTGTACCCACCACAATCAACCAGGCCACAGCTGAGCATCTGACCCAAAGCTGGCTGATACACTCCCTTGGAAAGGTCCATTGGGCTAACCAAACCTCTGAAAAAACAGACCGAAGCAGATAAGAGGCAAGACAGAACCTAAACAAACCATCAAGAGAATGAATAATGTGCTTTTGTCCTCCTCTGTGTAGAAATGAAAACAGGAACCTATATTTGCATTTGCTTATTCACATATAAAGAAACTCTATAAAAAGCTAGGAACAAAAGTGAACTATAGGCCTCAGGGAGACTTTGCACAGAGTGCCTTTCTAACTTTCTAGCCTTTGAATCATATTCTATTACCTAGTCCAATGAAAAGGAAAGGGAGAGAGAGATGCCAGGACATAGTAATGGGGTAAGAGGCTACAGGAAGCCAAATCTTTGTATAAATTCAAGTTATTTACTTAACAGTACTTACTGAGTACCTACTGTGTGTGGGCACTGCTCTAGGCAGGGAAAGGAGACAGCAAAGTCTCTAGTCTCCTGGACTTGTCACTTGTATGAGCCAACAAAAAACAAAAATCCATTAGGTATAAGGAAGTATCAGTAAGAAATATCAAGCAGGTAGGAACTTGAAAGAGAAAGCCATTTTTAGACAGGCTGGTGGAGGAGGGCAGCTCTGACAATATATTGAGCAGTAGAGGCCTGATATAAGGGGCCACGCCATGCAGTTATGGAGGAAGCATGGGATCGACAGGGGAAGAACATGCCAGAAGGGAATAGAGGGAATGAGGAAAACGTGGTAAGGCGGCTCCTAAATTCTGCTGCACATTAGAGTCCCTGGAGATCCCTGCCACACATCCTTAATTAATTAATTAGCATGGGGTTTGACCTGGGCATCGGAGTTTTTAAAAAGGCCCCAAATAATTCTAATACACAGAAAATTTCAGGAACCACTACAACAGGAGATGAAAACAGAAGTGAGTTATCAGATCAAGTCAGGCCCTCAACAGGACGCTGGAGTATTCTTTGAGATGGAAAGCCAGAGCAGAGATTTGACCTCACTGGCTACTGTGCAGGGAAGAGATCAAAAGGGACGAGAGTGGATCTGGATGTTCCAGCAAGGAGTCCACTGAGATAATGCAAGTACTGATGGCTACTGATGGTGTGGTGATGGCAGCAGCATTAGCGATCGAGTGCTTCCTTCACAATGGGGTTTTCTGATGCCTTGTAAACCAAGGCATTGGAAAAGTGCAGAGTAGAGCAGAGACAAAGGCCAACTGATGGACCATGCAGCTCTGTGACAAAGAGGTGGTTTCAGAACCACCTAGCACCCTGCTTGGTTTCCAGCTTCCTTTCTCCCAAACTTTGTTGAGATAACAAGATATGTATTGGTTTTCGAGTCTCTAGATAAAGATATGAAGATTTAGATTTCCATATACATAAATGTGTATGTACATATGGATATGTTTGTGTGTGTGTATATATATACAGGTAAGTATTCAAGATTACATAAATATATTGCTAAAAGAATTGAAGAATGCAGACCACCACGAATATGGTTACCTCTGAAGGTTAAGGAAGCAGCTAACAGGACTTCTATGTTTTACTCTTAACTACTTCTGAATTCTTATATCTTTTACAACAAGTACTTCTCTGTGTACTACTCATGAAATTTTTGATAAATCAGAATGAGGAGACAGCCTCTGAACCTTGGTTTCTCCTGGTCCAAAGCATGTAAGAAGTTAGCTCTACTTCAAGCACTTAAGACTCAACCAACATTGAGAAATCCTCCACCATGCCAAGGCTGGCTCAGGGGCTAGTACAGCAATGAGCAGCACAGACCTAGGGACAAGGCCAGAAGGAGGCCAGCCCACAGCAGAGGAGTGAGTGCACAGCGTACTTCCCTGTAGCTGGGAAGGCAACAAATCAACCTCAAGGCCTGCCGGGGCTCCCTGGGAAAAGGGACCTGTGAGCTGGGTCTTAGAGTATCTCAGAGAATCAACCAGGCAGAGCTGGGATAAGGAAGGATTCAAAGCATAGACAGGTAGCACGGTAGCACTAAAACACAAAGCCCAAAGCAGAAAGTGAGGGTTGGGAGGCTTGCGTGTGGTAGTGAGGGACCTCCATGTCATCCTGCAATCATTTTTGAGTCTGCTGGCAAGGTGTTTCAAAACTTTTCAAAGGAAAATGTTTTCAGGCAGGACCTACTCTTAGCAGCTTAACAGGCCCTCCCATGCCTTCCTATCTTGTACACACCACTGCTCCTGTACTGGTTTGAGGATGTACTCCGAAGTGGTGAGCCCTGAGAGCTCCAGGGCCTTGGCCAGAAATACTGGCATTAACAGATCTGTGGTGAAAGCAGATTTGAGGGGGATGAAGCCAGAAGGTGAGAGACCGTTCAGGAGATTATTTCAATAATCCAGGTCAGAACTCTTAAGAGTTCAAACCTGGGCAGTGCTGGTGGGGATGGAGCCAGGAGATTGATTCAAGAACCCTTCTTTAGGTAGCAAAGGGAATCTGGGGAAGAGAAGCTCCAGGCAATGACAATACCTTCTTCCCACCCAGAGGAAACTTCATTTCTCCTCAAAAAATATGGAATGTAGGATCCTACAAGTTGCACCGTTTGTTCAAGGCACTGAAATCCTCCTGCCTCAATCCTAAATGTCCCATTACTGCCCGGCCCCGCCCCCAAATCAAGCACTTTAATTTACCTTGAGCTTTAAACTGCAGAGCTTCGCCTGCAGCCTCACCACTGGGGTCCATATGATACCGGTTAGCCTTTTCTTGTAATACGGCATCAAAATTCTCCTGTGCAATTCGCCTTGCTGCCATGTTTCTCCAACCTATAGTGAACGGGAAAAAAAAAAAACCACTAAAAATGACAACTAATGCTTACAGAGCCTGCTATTTCACCTAATCCTCAAAGTAATGAGGCAGTAATTCACAATCTGGCATGGTAATTCAGAGAGAGGTTGGATTATTTTATGGGGCCTCTGCTCTCATGCTCACAGGTGTGTGTTGGTTGATAAGAGCAAGGTAAGCATGGTCATCTTGGACAAGTTATTTAGCTTCTCTGAGCCCATTTCCTCAGAATCTTTTAAAAGAAGCTCTATGAAAGCAGTGCTTATCTCCTGGGGTTGCTGGAAGACTGCATGAAGCAACACACGTAACTGAACATGACAGTTTAGGGGAATGGGAACATTACCCCTGCACATGGTAGTTAGGAAAGATGTTACTGCTCTCTTTTCCCACAAAGGGCCAAGAAGCTCTGAGAACTGACCTCCCCTCTGAGAGAAGCCTCTCAAGGAGTGAGTGGAGGAATCCCCTGAATAGTGACAATGAGCTAGTGACAGAATTGTAAAGGAAGGGACTCCCATGATTTCATGTACTTCTTGCAAAAACCAGTAAAAAAGTGGGTCCTGTTACAAATGACATTAAACAGAAGAGCAAATGGGAGTCTCAGGCTATGTGACCCACCAAGGTTAGCCAGCCTGGACTGGAACCTAGCAAACAGGGCACTGGTAGTGGCGATAAAGTCCTGAAGACTAAGTAGAAAGACGTAGAAAGACTGAGAAAGAGCGACACTGAGGAATCCAGTGACAGCCAGTCCTTAATCAAGATATTCCTTCCAACTTGAAATCTCTAATGTAAGATCCAAGCCTGGTCCTACCTTAGTCTTTCTTATCACCCCCTTTCTATCCTTCGGCCCTCTCCCTAGGGCTCCCCTTGTTCTCTCCTGGCAAAGGGCAGGCTCTCAGGGACAGGCGGCCAGAAACCAAATCAAGAGACCTAACCTTTCTATGCCTCTGTTTCCCCATCTATAGAATGGGCAGCGAACGGTAGGGGCTGCTGTAGGGAATGAACCCGTTAAAAAGGGCAAAGGGCCCGATACAGAGCCTGGCCCCCGGGATCGCCTCACAAGAAGGGCCGCTCCAGGTTCGGGTAGAATGAATGAGCAAGGGAACGAATGAACCTCTTTGAGTGCGGCCCGCCTGCCTCCTGGTCTCCGAGAACGAAAAAAAG